TGATGGCGTATGGAAGATGGTGAGGAGGGGAAAAGAGGAGAGGTGTTACTGTTTGGAAGGGAAGTCCCCTTCCATTATAACATCAGGCAGTGATGACTTCTCTGGAGTACACACACTCCTACATTTTGCCTGCATACCACTAGGACCTGGTTGTGATTCACTGCTTGTTTGTCTCACTAAAAATCTTTCCATAGATTTTTGTTTTTCCATACATTTTAATTTTTGTCTGTAGTGAGGCATCACAGTGTCATTAAAAAGGTTAAGGTGCCTACTGCACTGTGATTTGGGTGAGTCATTTCAGCAAAAGTTTGCAATTCTTCCCATGCTGCACTCATTTTCTTAATCAATGAGGAAGGGACATTCAGTACTGTCTCCTCCTCTTCCCCTGAAAAAATTTCCTCAGCTGTCTTTTGTTGCTGCTCCTAGTGAAGTTCTTCGGTGGTCAGTTCTTCGTTGTGTCCCTTCACCAGCTCGCAACACATAACACTATGAATGCCACTTTTTTTTCTAAATTTCTCAAACCATCTCCTGCTCGCCTTAAACTCTTTCGCATTTGGATCACTTGTTCTAGGGGTTTTCTTTAAAAGGTCTTCATGCAATTTCCTTGCTTTTTCACAAATGATGGGGAGCCAGTCGGCCGAGCGGACAGCACACTGGACTTTTGATCCTGTGGTCCTGGGTTCTATCCCAGGCGCCGGCGAGAAACAATGGGCAGAGTTTCTTTCACCCTATGCCACTGTTACCTAGCAGTATATAGGTACCTGGGTGTTAGTCAGCTGTCACGGGCTGCTTCCTGGGGGTGGAGGCCTGGTCGAGGACCGGGCCGCGGGGACACTAAAGCCCCAAAATCATCTCAAGATAACCTCAAGATCTCAAGATAAGATGGCCTCTGAAACGCTATCACCCGCTAACTCCTTGCTGTGTATCCAAATTAATAATAACTGTTCAACATCCTCAAGTATTTGTGTTCTATGTTTTGTGATTATTGATCACAAGTGCTAAAGTGGCCTTTTGCCACTTTAGCACTCATAATGTCCTTTTTCTTAGCATGTATGGTGGATATCGTTGACCGAGATTTGTTGTACTGCCTAACTAGTTCAGCAACCTGCACACCATCTTCATATTTACGAATGATCTTGTGTTTTTGCTCTATGGTCATCTTAACATGTGTTTTCATATGCTGAACCTTACCACTGACTTTCTTGGGACCCATGGCATGATATATAATAATCAGTTTTATGTTCAAAAAGCAAAAAATCCCCCCCCAAAAATAGGATTTCTTTTAAGCGTGATAGTCACTAAGCGGGCGGCTCTAGTAAACTGAGGCAGGTCGGTCCGTGCGACAAGGAACCATGCGCTCGGTAGACCCGAACGTGTATTAACAAATATCGTTAGTCAACGACACCAAGTCGAGTCGTATTTTCCCATCAAATTTATATCGCAACTCAAAATTATTGCAAGTCGGGGCAATCGTAAGTCGAGGTGCCACTGTACTCTTTTTTAGCTTTCTGACCTCAATTTTCGTGTTACGTCATTCAATTTGTTATCAAATTGTTCGCAATAGAATGCTTTAACCACTTAACTGCACCAACCGAGTATTCTCGGTCGGCGGGAAACTGCGCCAACCGAGAAAACTCTTTGATTTTTCGGTACTAATTCTAAATGTGTACGAGGTTGGTTGTGTACGAAATGGACTCTTAGGACCTCCTGTGAGAGGCAGCCATCTTGGAAAAAATTCCCAGAATGCCCTAGGGCTGCTAGCTGGGTTAGTACTGAAGGAGCAACCATGGGTGGCGCACGCGCCTCTGGCTCTCAAACACCTGTCCGACGCGGTGTTGAAAGATAACGCTCTGCCGGAGAAATTCAAACCTTATTGTTTGAAGAACATAAGGGTCATAATATTGGTGAAGCTAGGCGCAATAAGGACCTAACAGGTCTATTCTATAAATTCATAAACAACAAATTGCAGGTAAAGGATAATATTCAGAGGTTGAAAATGGGAAATAGATTCACGGAAAATGAAAAGGAAATGTGTGAAACATTAAACGAAAAGTTCCAAAGTGTGTTTGTACAAAATGAAATCTTCAGGGAACCAGATCCAATAAGAATTCCAGAGAACAACATAGAGCACATAGAGGTGTCTAGATACGAAGTGGAAAAAATGCTCAAGGAGCTAAATAAGAACAAAGCAGTTGGTCCAGATGGAGTTTCACCATGGGTTCTGAGAGAATGTGCACCTGAGCTCAGCATTCCACTTCAACTGATTTTTCAGGCATCCCCTGTTTACAGGAGTTGTAGCTGATGTGTGGAAAAAGGCTAACATACTTCCAATCTACAAAAGTGGAAGCAGGGAAGACCCCCTTAATTATAGACCAGTATCATTGACAAGTGTAATAGTCAAAATATTGGAAAAAAATAATTAAAACTAAATGGGTTGAACACCTGGAGAGAAATGATATAATATCAGACAGACAGTATGGTTTTTGATCTGGAAGATCCTGTGTATCGAATTTACTCAGTTTCTATGATCGAGCAACAGAGATATTACAGGAAAGAGATGGTTGGGTTGACTGCATCTATCTGGACCTAAAAAAGGTTTTCGACAGAGTTCCCCATAAGAGGTTGTTCTGGAAACTGGAAAATATTGGAGGGGGTGACAGGCAAGCTTCTAACATCTTGGGGTTATCTTGAGATGATTTCGGGGCTTTTTAGTTTCCCCGCGGCCCGGTCTTCGACCAAGCCTCCACCCCCAGGAAGCAGCCCGTGACAGCTGACTAACACCCAGGTACCTATTTTACTGCTAGGTAACAGGGGCATAGGGTGAAAGAAACTCTTCCCATTGTTTCTCGCCGGCGCCTGGGATCGAACCCACGACCACAGGATCAAAAGTCCAGCGTGCTGTCCGCTCGGCCGAGCGGCTCCCTCATGGATGAAAAATTTTTTGACAGATAGAAAAATGAGGGCAGTGATTAGAGGCAATGTATCGGAATGGAGAAATGTCACAAGTGGAGTACCACAGGGTTCAGTTCTTGCACCAGTGATGTTTATTGTCTACATAAATGATCTATCAGTTGGTATACAGAATTATATGAACATGTTTGCTGATGATGCTTAGATAATAGGAAGGATAAGAAACTTAGATGATTGTCATGCCCTTCAAGATGACCTGGACAAAATAAGTATATGGAGCACCACTTGGCAAATGGAATTTAATGTTAATAAATGCCATGTTATGGAATGTGGAATAGGAGAACATAGACCTCACACAACCTATATATTGTGTGAGAAATTTTTAAAGAATTCTGATAAAGGAAGAGATCTAGGGGTGGTTCTAGATAGAAAACTATCACCTGAGGACCACATAAAAAATATTGTGCGAGGAGCCTATGCCACGCTTTCTAACTTTAGAATTGCTTTTAAATACATGGATGGCGATATACTAAAGAAATTGTTCACAACTTTTGTTAGGCCAAAGCTAGAATATGCAGCGGTTGTGTGGTGCCCATATCTTAAGAAGCACATCAACAAACTGGAAAAGGTGCAAAGACATGCTACTAAGTGGCTCCCAGAACTGAAGGGCAAGAGCTACAAGGAGAGATTAGAGGCATTAAATATGCCAAAACTAGAAGAGAGAAGAAAAAGAGGTGACATGATCACTACATACAAAATAGTAACAGGAATTGATAAAATCGATAGGAAAGATTTCTTGAGACCTGGAACTTTAAGAACAAGAGGTCATAGATTGAAACTAGCTAATCACAGATGCCGAAAAAATATAAGAAAATTCACTTTCGCAAACAGAGTGGTAGACGGTTGGAACAAGTTAGGTGAGAAGGTTGTGGAGGCCAAGACCGTCAGTAGTTTCAAAGCGTTATATGACAAAGAGTGCTAGGAAGACGGGACACCACGAGCGTAGCTCTCATCCTGTAACTACACTTAGGTAATTACAAAGGTCGGATGCCAAGTAATACAGCACCTATGAGGACGATACAGCGAGCGTATCCAGTTGTAGCTCTGAGCGTCGCCCTTGCAATCCTATACTATCTACAATTTATTTAGATGATATATAGTTGAATAATTTTTTGTGTTCAGTGATGATGCATCTGATATAAATAGCATTGATGAACAGTGTTAGCGGCTTCCATGGTGGTGTTTTCCATAGATATTTTCAAAAATACCTGAATCTCTTCCTAACTGACAGACACTCTTTGAGGCTAGCTGAATCTCTTTCTGACTGACGGACACTCTTGAGGTAAGCTGAATTTCTTCCTGTGTGGGACCATACAAAGCGATCTTTTCAAGACTACCTTACAAATTGATTTTTTCCTATAATCTTTTCAATACTACCTTATGCTTTACAAGCTTGGCTACATACAACCTACAAGTACTAAAGCCAAGGGTGTACTTGAGTGTTATTTGCAAGCACACAGAATGAAGAAACAGGAAGCAAAAATTTATCTGTACCTGGTGCACTGAGAGCGAAGTCGCTCTGTGTACCATGGGCAACTTTGTTCATTATTACTCACTTCCGAAGTACTGAGTGTGTAATACAGTGTGTTACTGTGTAAATAGTGTGTGAAACTGTACATATTGTAATTTTAGTGAATTTTTAATGGGTAATATTGTGACAATAAACCTTTAATGTGGACACATTACTGACACATGTATCACAGTTCCAGGGAACATTATGAACTTTCTACTGTATACATATTGTAAAGGACACAAATATGCATCATATACGATAATAAAAGCAAATAAAACCACATTGGAAATACATAAAACAAATAATTGAAAATATATTTGTGGCAACACCCAGTGCTTGAATGGCCAGCGCGACCGTGTCTGGGCGAGTCATGCACGGGCGACCAGGCCCTGATGACGTCACAGCGCACCTTGTCCACGTCCCCACAGCCAAAGTAAGTGGACACCTTGCCCAACAAATGTATAATATATTTCACATTTACTTTTTATATATCAAACATGTTTACTGAACACGTTACCTGTTGTTGTGGAATGTTTCATTTCTTGACCTGGAGCCTTTGCATCTATTAACTGCATAATGTTGATGTCAGGCCTAGTCACCATACTCTTTGTTAAGCTGACGTTTGCCGAGCTTGGCAAATTGAGGTATGAGGCATCTTGCAGGTTGACGTCAGCCAAGTTTTGCAAGTTCTGGTATTTTGAATTAGGTATGTTGAGGTTTCTTGAGCTTTGCAAGTTGAGGTGAGTGGCATCTTGCATGTTGAAATTAGAGGGGGTTTTCAAGATGAGGTGTGTGGCATCTTTTGTGTTGAGGTATACAGGGGTTTTCAAACCAAGGCGAGTAGTATCTTGCATGTTGAAATTAGAGGGGGTTTTCAAGTTGAGGTGCGTAGCATCTTGCATGTTGAGGTTTGCCGAGTTGTTCAGGTTTAGGCGAGTGGCATCTTTAATGTTAATGTTTGAGGGAATTTTCAGGATGAGGTGCTTAGGGTCTTGTATGTTGAGGTTTTTCGAGCCTTGTACATTGAGGTTTGCAGAGTCTTGCTCTAAGATATAGGAGTTCATAAGATGACTGTCATGTACCTCAGGATTTCTTGGCATTTGCTCAGCAGTTCTAGCATACACAGGTTGTTCGTGTTGCATACTGCCGTTTGGAGCAGCTTGCATTTTTGTAAAAGAGTTAGAGTAAGTTTGTGGTATCATAGAATTCACAGCATTTTGTGCCACAGTGACAGGGTACAGACCTGCTAGCATGTTTGTGTAGGGGTTTATACCTGATGCATAGGTCACAGGGTCAATCAAATCTGGTTGTTGCCAACCTGCATTCCGATGTCCAAATAACTGTCTAGGAAAACCGATCATACCTGAATTGCCACAATTTACGCAAGAGATATTAAATGACATGTTGTAATTTCTATCCAATCTTGATCTATATAAATCTGCCTCTGTAATGTAATCTTGTACCAGACTACTTTGAGATGGAAGTCTATATCCAGATCCTGGGATGATATTATGCACAGGCAAGGGATAAGACCTAGGTTCCATCTCATAGTTTCTATTTTCAACAAGTTGGAAGGGAACTGCTTCATTAACTATATTTACCACCTTTCCAGGGATATAAATAGAGCTAGGAGTGGTTGTGTTTCCTGTACTACTTCCAATATTAATGTTTTGTTCATGCATATCTGGAGCAGGCATCATCTTGAAGTCGTCTTACCTATAAAAAAAAGATTTAAACTAGATTATTTTAACCAATTTAAAAGCAAGTAATTATTAAAGAAGGTACAAGCTAGGAAGACTATGTAGCACTGTCTAATTCACAGGGTATTCTAAAGGTGCCAAATATCATTCAAGATGCCAATATGAGAACTGAGGGCCATAAGGTTAATGATATCAAAGGTTGTAAGGAAGGGGTCCTTTTTGGAAGAATGTTTTAATGTTGATAATTGGCAGTGAATAGTTAAAACTGTGTTGGTTTGTAATGGAAAGATATTTTAAATTCCTGCCAGTGCAGTGGCTAGTCCTGCACATGCACAGTGCATTGTCACAGTGTGAGGACGTTCCTCTCTAAAAGAATATAAACATCAATTTAAGGGGGCTTATCACACTAAATTAAAAGTTGTTCAATTTGCTTATAAATTTTTTTATGAAATGGTTATAGAAAGGGCTGCAACTGGTCCAAGTTTCACCATCACACCCTAAACAGAAAAGGAGAAAAAAAATACACAACGTATTATGCAACGAATGTTCAACATTCTCAAATAATCTTAGGAAACACATGTGTCAACTAAAATGTCTACTATGTGCTGTAGAAGCACAAACTCTTGTAATAATTGTAATATGTATGTGCAATATATTTATATGTAAATTTTTTTTTTTTTTTTTTTTTTTTTTTTTTGGCCAATTTTTTTTTCTCGTTTGTTATCAAGGGATTTGCATGAAACTTGCACACCTTGCTCAATGGATGCCTATCTGCAAGGGTGCCAATTATGAACGAAGTCTGTCGAAGTCAAGCTCAGCTACAGGTGGCCGAACTTGGAACTTTATTTTACTCTGGAAAGTAATTTACAACTTCAAGGCGTTTCTCAGCTTTCATTTATTAATCAATTTACATGCAAATTACACCTTATATGTAGAGTTTGTGCTTCTACAAACCTATTGAGACATTTTAGTCCAAAGTCCATTTGTTGATTTTATAAAAATTTATAAACATCATATATTGCATATTTTTGGAAGGGTAACTTTGAAAAATTATATTATTGCACTAAACACTTTTTTTGATAAAACTTATCAATACAATCCTTTATTATGTGTTAGTTTAATATCTGAGTGTTATAGAAATGATTTTAGTTGACACATGTGTTCCCTGAAATTATTTGAAAATGTTGAAAATTCGTTGCATAATACGTTGTGTATTTTTTTCTCCTTTTCTGTTTAGGGTGTGATGCTGAAACTTGGACCAGTTGCAGCTCTTTCTATAACCATTTCATAAATAAATTTATAAACAAATTGAACAATTTTTACGAAACCCGTAATATGCCCCCTTAATGAAGGAAAATAAATCATCTCAAGTAATTGTAATCATATCATCAAGTAATTGTAATTGTAATCATCATCTCAAGTAATTGAAAATACGTGTGAAAATCAGTGTTAAATGTAGGAAAAAAGTTTGGGACAAACAAATGAGACAGAAATAAATAAATTGGGGATACAATTTGAGATGGGATATTATTGGAATGCTGGTGGTTGGACAGACAACTCGGGCCGATGAGTAGTTCACTTGCCTGGTGGCAGGGTTTTAGAGAGGACCGGCCAACTTCAGTAGACACTAGGTGATCTTCAAAAATACAGTACAATAAGTGCAGAGACGTCATATGTGGTCCTATGTCTATGGTAGTTAGGTGTAGGATGTACAGTGGTACCTCAGCTTACGAGCGCCCCTGGTTACGAGTTTTTCGGAATACGAGTAGGATTTGCTCGGAAAATTTGTATCGGGATATGAGGGTTGCCTCAGGATACAAGGGTGTTGATACGCGTACGGGCCGACTTAGCATGTGGTGGCACGGCGATCGCCGCTCAGTTTACCAGTGCCTCGCGCCCAGTGACTATCCCGGCTTAATTCTTCACAAGGATTTACCATTTATTTTCGGATTTTTTTGCTATTTGAGCATAAAATTTGTTGTTATATATATCGTAATGGGTTCCAAGAAAGCCAGTCTTAAGGTTCAAGGCAAGAAATCGCATGTGAGGATGACAATAGATGAAAAGCAAGAAATCATTCGGAAGCATGAAAATGGTGCACGTGTTGTTGAACTTTGTAGGCAATACAACAAATCCACGTCAACGATATGCACTATACTTGCCAAGGAAAAGGACATTATGAGTGCTAAAGAGGCAAAAGGAGTATCAACAATCATGAAACAAAGACCACAAATACTTGAAGAAGTGGAAAAGTTGTTATTAATTTGGATACACAACAAGGAGTGAGCGGGTGATAGTGTTTCAGAGGCCATCATTTGTGAGAAAGCCTTGAATTGCATAAATACCTTGAAAAGAAAACCCCTGGAACGAATGCAGATATGAAAGACTTTAACCCTTTAGTTGCGCATCGCATCATATGATGCTTTGACCGACTTGCAGTAAATTGCGCATGGCATCATATGATGCTTTGACCGACTTGCAGTAAATTGCGCATTGCATCATATGATGCTTTGGAGTGCCGCACAAGATTTGAAAGGCCCGCGGGGTATAGGGGGTCCCCATACGCTGCCCAGGGGCTATAGTAAATAGCCGCCATTTTGAAAAAAAATCCAGCTCACGCTACAATCGCTTGGGAAGCCTCTGTTACCCAGCAGCCACCATGTCGAGCGCATGGCCGAACGCTTCCCGGGCACGCCCCATGCAATCACTCACCCAAGAGCAAATAACCAGTGAATTATTTTCCGATGGTGAGGAAAGTGACTTTGATGACTCTGATATTGATAAAGACTACACACAATTGACCGATGATGATAGCACGGACAGTGAAAATGAGATACAGCCGCCTCCCATGGCGAGGCCTATACGCTCACCTATGCCACCTCACCCAGTGTCTACTCCAATTCACCCACGACCACACAGTTCCTGTGCTTATTTAGAGTCTGAGGATATTTTCGGTGACAAGTCACAGGAAGGTGACTCTTTTTCTGGTTTTAGTGAAGTGGAATCAGAACATAGTGTTACCGAGCCTGGTGCCAGTACCAGTGGTGTTACTGGGCGAGATTTTGTCGCGTCAGCAGCGTCTCGCCCAGCCAAGCGCCACTGCATGGAACAACATGAGGCACCAAGAGCCTCATGTTCACGTGCTTCTACCTCACGTGCACGTAGCGGCCGTACTGTGCGTAGAAGGGCTTCAGCTCCTGGTCCACGGAGTGGACAGGCTTCCTCGCCATAGTGCCCCTGTTGCGTTCCCTGCGTCTCGCAGGACACCAGATGTACTAGTGTGGAGTGATGGTGCTGGTTTTATTCCCCGAATTCCTGCCTTTGACAATAAAGACGTTGGGATTACAGAGCTTTTCCCTGATAATGGAGAGGATATGAGTGAATGTGATTATTTTACAGCATTCTATGATGAGCCGCTCATGGAATATATTGTACATCAAACGAACCTTCATGCAGCTCATCTCATTAGAAGAGAGATAACAGAATTTTCACGATTGCAACGCTGGAAAACCACCAATGTTGGTAAAATGTATGTGTTTCTAGCGATATGTGTGTTGATGAAATACTGTGTCAAACATACTATCACAGATTACTGGAGCAAAGATCTGACTATTCCAACACCTTTCTTCAGGAAATATATGTCCCGAGACAGATTTCAGATACTCCTCAGGTGTCTGCATTTTGCAAGTAATGAGGACCGGACAGAGAATGATAAACTTTGGCGAGTGAGGCACTATATGAATGAAGTGATTGGAAAATTCAGAGATTTTTACGTACCAGCACAGAAGCTGGCGATTGACGAATGAATCCCTTGTACTTTTCAAAGGACGTGTTTCATTCAAGCAGTATATTCCCTCCAAACGAAACAGATTTGGATTGAAATTCTTTGTACTGTGTGACTGTGAAACAGGATACGTGTTACACAGTGGTAGACGGTTGGAACAAGTTAAGTGAGAAGGTGGTGGAGGCCAAGACCGTCAGTAGTTTCAAAGCGTTATATGACAAAGAGTGCTGGGAAGACGGGACACCACGAGCGTAGCTCTCATCCTGTAACTACACTTAGGTAATTACACTTAGGTAATTACATGATTCTGTATTCAGCTAGCGATGTCGACATTCCCGGTAACGACGAACATGGTTTCTCTGGTAGTGTGGTGAAGTCACTGATAGCACCATGGATGAACAAGGGGCACATCCTATACACGGATAATTACTATACAAGTCCATTGCTAGCTAGGTTCTTGATTGAAAATAGAACCGGATTGGTTGGCACAGTAAAGGCACGAAGAAGGGAAATGCCAGTGTTTGGCGGTGGACTTGCAGTTGGTGAGTGCCAGGTATGGAAATGTGATCACATACTCTCGGTACGGTGGAAAGACAAGAGAGAAGTGAACCTGCTGACAACCGTTCATAAGGGTACAATGTTGAACAGTGGCAAGGTGCACCGTGTAACGAGAGAACCAGTATATAAGTCAGATTGTGTTCTTGACTACAATATCAACATGCGTTTGATTGATAAGGCTGACATGATGATTGGCACTATCGAGTGTATGCGGAAAACATTGAAGCGGACGAAAAAAGTGTTTTTCCATCTTGTTGACATGAGCATGTTGAACTGCTATAATTTGTATCTGATGAAAACTGGACGTAAACCTGTTTTCGTTCATTTGCTTTTACACTTGCAATACAGTTATTAGCAAAGTTTGGTCAAGATGTCCCTGGCATACGAAGACCAATCATGAACCCAATGTTGCAGCATGCTGCAACACCCAGGCTCGCTCACATAGATGCCTTTTAGCAACACAGACTAAAGAATTTGCCACCAGGTGGAAAGCGTGCAATAGGCCAATGTGCATGCCTATTATGTAAAACAACAAAACGGAGAGAACAGAAACGTAAACTGGTGCAAACATGGTGTGAAGGGTGTGCAGTTGCATTGTGTGCTATCGACTGCTTCAACGACTAGCACTCACTCCAAGATTTCTAAATGTGCAATAATAGTGCAAAAACCTGTAC